AGAGAGAGAGAGAGAGAGAGAGAGAGAGAGAGAGAGAAAGCTTCATGTATTATGCGCTCCGGGATAATATCCCCTTAAGCGCACAGCAAAGTACAATAGTATTGCATTAGTTACATAGAAGTAGTAAATAACAATGAAAATAAAACAATATAGAAAAGAATGAAAAAGATGAATAGCAAAAAAAGACTAATAAGAAAAAAGATTAAAAAATAAATAAAAATTAACAAATAATAAAATAAACTTAGTAAGTGAAACAAACAATAGTGCGTTAAACAGTGTAAATGACAAGTGTATAAGTAACTACCTGACTGACCATATAAGAAGCTACCTACAATCAGAGCCACCACTGTCCAGCAAATGACTGTAAACCATTGATTTAAATAAATCGCCAGACCCGACACTATGGGCCGTATTCATAGTCCGTACTTATTTTTAAGATCGCCTTAAGTTTAGTCTTAAGACGCCCTCTAGATTCATAATCAAAAATAAGGCGGAACTTGAGCAAACGTTTTAAGGAATATCTTGGTCAAGATGATCTTATTTAGATGCGTCTTAATATGATTCATAAATTCATTTAAGCATGAGATTGAGTATACCTTATTCATCATAAATTCATAGTCATTAAAGATCGTCTTATTTCACGCATACACTGACAAATAAGACGATCTTCGCCAAGACATGTCCGAAGACGTCTTAAGCAACAGCTTTTGTTAGAACAGTTATTACTCATATGCATGTGCTTTGACGTTTACAAAGAAATAAATAAGTCTGTGATAATAAATAATTTCCTCCTGCTTGGGGACGTTTCTCTCGCCTGTGTATCAGTCTTTATCACATATTTTTGTTTATTTTATATGACTTGGACACGACTTACACGAGATGGTCGTTGACGTGTTTGTGTTGCTGTTGTGTACTTATTCATTGTTTATCATTTGACTTTATAATTTTTATTTACAATTTTGACATCATTTATTATCTTTGACTTTGTTTACATAATTATTTTTGATTTCCTAAATTAATTTTTCGACTTGACTTTTCTTGTTTGTTGACATGCAGTAGCGTGCACTTGTTTTGAAGGTGCGTATAAACTTTTGATTTGTACCCTATCATACTTTGTTAACTTAAGTTTTACGTGTTTTATACTGGTAATTAATTCTTTGTTAATTTACTGGCTGATGATGATCGGAAATTAATAAACAATCAAAACGTCCCAAGAATAAAGCTGATTTTTATTTTAACCACCATCAGTCGATAAAAAGCTAGTTTGATCTATTTTATTTGATAATAAATAAAACTCTAGCATTCTTTTTCTAAAAGAAAGTAGACCTATGAAGTTAGTGTTTCTCCTTGCTATAGATCTCTGGCTGTGAGTATGGTGAGTACAGTGAATATCGGAACGCATCTAAGAACGTCTTCTTCTTCTTTTTTGCATATATGGCTCACGCCCCTGCGAGAGAGGAGCAAACGCCAGTCTATGGATATACATTCTCAGAACGAATGTGGGAGGGGGGGATGTACAGTTTTTACCATAGAGCTTATACTCATGGAGAGGCCCTGCCTATATGCTAACCATAGAGAGGACCGCGCAAAGAGGATCGACAAAGAGAAATATATTTGGATATATTTTGTTTCAACTGTGGCTCCCCCACTCCGTATTCTCTGTTATTCTCTTCTATAAGAAGTGGCCACAATTGAAACAGAAAAATATATCTCTCTTTGACTGCTTTCCTTTTAGGAGACACAGTCGACACAAGTCGACACAAGAGTCATTCTGTCTTTGTTTCTCACTAAATACTGAACGAAGACAGAATGACTTTTGTGTCGACTTGTGTCGACTGTGTCTCCTAAAAGGAAAGCAGCTTTTGTCGATCCTCCTTGCGCTCGCAGGGCCTCTCTATAAGTATAAGCTCTATGGTTTTTAACTACTACCACGCGATACACGGTCGTCTTTCACAGTGGGCGTGCCCATCTATGTCGGGCTCGTGCTCAAGGTGTTATGACTACGATAGCCTTGTGGGAGGGAAATTAATTCGAGATTACACCCGAATTAATTTTTGAAGGCCCGATTAAGTTCGCCAATCAACCGATAAACTCGGTTGAAAGGGACCGGCCCGGAAAAAATCCTTAGGTGGTGAGCGGATTCGAACTCGGGACCTCCAGGTTCGCAGCCCCTGCACTCAGGCCGCGAGCATCTAAGAACGTTTAATATTAGTCACGACTAATAATATTAAACTAGATAGTATAACTACTTTATAAAAGTAAACCAATATTTCTATTGGCGGATCCAACGGAAATATTACGAAAATAACCGAATCATAAATAAGCATTGTTTTAAGCACATCTTCGTAAACACAATCTTATATCAAATAAGAATTACTCAAAGAAGAATTTCTCGACGAAGATCACCTTATATTGCGACTGTGAATTATATCGTTCTTGAGATGATCTTAATTAAATAAGACCATCTTCACCGAGACAGTCTTAAGCATTACCTTGAGTTTTGACTATGAATACGACCCTATAAATGTCAGACAATATAGCGTTCCAAATGGCAGCAGCATAACAAGTGAAAGATCTCTTGAAGATCTCAGTACGACAGAGAGGCACAACAAGGTCACAGGCGGATGTTCTGGAGCTTCTAGCTGTGACACCCCGAAAGTGAAATCTCTCATATAGAGTAAGAGTTTTATGAGTTGTTAATATGCTATGCAAAACACAGCAGACGAAGTAAGTTCTTCTCAAGTCCACCTTCAGCCACCGAAGCTCACCATAAAACGGAGTAACATGCATGTCTCTTCTGATCCCATAAATAAATCTAATACATGCATTCATTGTTCGTTGCAATCGTAAAGTATGTTCTACCGTGATATCCGTCATGACGCAGCAACAGTAATCAATGTGTGGAAAGATCAACGCAGTGACAAGATTCCGTTTGAGTGTCAGAGGTAATAGATTCTTGCAAAGTTTTAGTTGGTAAAGCGCTTTGCGAGATTTACTGACGACATTCGTGATATGCTTCTCCCATGAGAGATTGCTCGATACAGTGACACCCAGATACTTAACTTGAGAAGCAAATTGTACAATTGTGTTTTTCACCATAATGCCAGGCAATGTGTCGTAATTAATAGCGTTGATGTATCTTGCTGATCCCATGATGATTGCCTGAGTTTTCTCAGAATTCAGAATGAGTTTGTTTCTGGATATCCAAGAAACTATATTTTGAATATCTAAGTTGACCTTGATGATACCGCTCATCAAATCATGTGGCTCACAATGCAGGTACAACAGCAAATCATCTGCGTAAAAATTATATTTACAATAGGTCAGTGTGTTGCCAAAGTCCTTGAGGTAAAGAACAAATAATAATGGTCCAAGTACAGATTCCTACACCAGCGCTGATGTTAGCTGAAGTAGATAGCCTTGAGTTGCTAGGATCTCGAACAACTTGCGCTCGTCCGGTCAGATAAGATTTTATCCAGTGCACAACAAGACCAGAAAAATTAAAGTCAACAAGTTTGTCAAGCAGTATCGAACATTGTACCCTGTAAAATGCTTTGGACAAGTCAAATAGCACTGAGATCAGTAATCATTCTTTTATCAGCAGCTTGTCTGTCATCAAGCACTCTGGTGCTAGTTTGAGTAGAATGTCCTTTTTTGTAGGTAAATTGATAAGGATCCCCTAAATTATTCTCCTCCAAGTAAGTCTGTATTTGTTCACAGACAATTCTCTTCAGAGCTTTAGACATAGCAGGAAAAATCGCAATGGGTCTGTAATCCTAAGGTGACATCGGATTTTTAACCTTTGGTATAAGACATACCACCGATGTCTTCCAGGCATCCGGGAAAATGCCATGAGATAGCGAGAAGTTGAAAATATGTTCAATGACCGGCATGACATAAGGCAGCACGAGACTAATCATTTTTATCAAAATGTTGTCAATACCAATGGCATTGGACTTAATTCTAGAGAAGACCCGATTGATATCTTGCGAACTGATATACTTCCAGTAGAACTTACGGTAATCACATTTCTCGCGAATATCGACGTCACAAGACTGTTTAGCAATACCCGAGCTACCTGCACGTAGTATCGATTTAATTCCTCGATGGTATTGGAAAGACAACCACTTTCTTGACTTTAATCAGGCCCAGTCGTCTCAGTTCCGTCCAGATAGTGCCAGAATCTTTAGTCTTAGAGAAAAATGCAAGATAGTATTTGTTTTTCGCGGCTCGTATCACATTCTGCACATCATTCCGCAATTTTTTGAAAAAAATGTATGATTCAACTCTGCGATCTCTACGCCACCTTCTGCGAGCTCGATCCCTGTTCTTCACGGCACTCTTAATCTCGCTAGTTAACCACGGCGCAAGAAGACTCCTAAACGCACCGCTACGGAGAGGTGCATGTTTGTCTACATAGTAAAGCACAGTTTGATTGAAAATATCAATCTTCTCATCCAGTGAAAACGAAGTTAACAGTCCACTCCAACCCACACTCTCCAGATCACCGACGAATGCTATCTCATTAAAATCCTTAAAACTTCTAAACGTTACTATCCGCTCTTGTATACGTTCTGCACAGATGTTATAGTCAATATAGATGAGGTCGTGCGCAGACAAAAACGGCATGGCGTGCTGTCTATATTTGATAAGCTTCTCAGAATCATCAATTATACACAGGTCGAGCAAAGTGCAGGAATGAGCCAGATTATGCGTGGGTTGGTAAGGTACAAGATAGAGACCCGCAGACTCGATGAATGTGAGAAGATGAGTGCTATCGTAAGATAAAACCAACAAATCAGCATTAAAATCACCAAGTATGACCGAGTGTCTATAATGTGCCAGGAGGTTCAGGAAGGCATCCTCAAATTCCTGCAAATAGCCACAGTTTGGTGGTCTGTATACAACGGCGAGCAGCAGGTTTGCCACGTCAGATAAGAATATTTCTGCAATAATATATTCCGGTTTTCGACAATATAAATTGTCTGACGTCTTTAAAATGTGTGCTCTGAAATTGTTGTGCAGATAGAAGGCTACGCCGCCTCCGCCTCTGCCAGTTCTGTCACATCTATACAGAGAATAATCCTGGAGACCAACAAAATTGTCAGAAATCTCGGGTTTGAGCCAGATCTCAGACAAGAAAATTATGTGATAATGCGAATTACAGAAAAAGATGCCGAACTCATCAAAATGAGCTACCAGAGACTGGCAATTTATATGACATATGCGTAGATGTTCGAAGGTCCGTTTGTTACCCATAGTTACCCAGCAAACATTTCGGTCACAGAACCATATCCATCTGTGTCCTCAGTAGGATATGGTTTGTTAATCATGTCTGTCAACATGTGAAATGTCAAAATGCGACCAAAATAATGACAGAGTCTGCCACAAGCAAAGCGAGGCCAAATTATCGCCAAAGTGAAGCCAAAATCCGGAATAGGTTTGGTCATTGTCTGTTGGCGCCAAATTGCAAACAGTCCGCACGTATACACGAACAGACCTGCTTGGCGTTTGGTGGCAATCTGTCGTCAATGCGTTTAACAGATCAACCCGACTTTTGTCGTAAACAGATTTCTGATACAATTTTGCGGACTGTTTGGTCACAGTATTGCCAAAAGCAGATCTGCTTGCAATCGACCATCTATTTGTTGTTAATTTCACTGACATATATGGAATCGTTTTGGCTGCAATACTCTCATGTATTTGTCAACAGAGTTGTTGCGTTTTTTCTTTCTGTGTGCTAACAATTTTGGTGGTGTTTCCGTATTGTAGCATTTCTGCAAACAATTTCTGTTACCAAGGTCTGCGCCGACATTGTCAAAAACAGAAATTGTTTGCTGGGTAATATTTAATATTCTGTCAGAGATCTTTCTGTTCAAGATTAGGCATTTCTTTGCATCCATTGCAGAATGATTTAAATTTCCAGCTGAAAAATTGTTGCTCCTTGCACAATTGCCACATCTAAGATTTGTTCTCTTACCGCAATCTCTGATGCTCATCTCCGCAATAACCACAGATCGCTGAGGATCTGCAATTTTTAGCTAAATGGCCAAATGCTAGGCAGTTGTAACACTGCAGGACTCTTACGTAATCAGCAAACTTACACGCCGAGTATCTAAGATAGACTCGACCACGATTTAGCAGCATGCTTCTTATCGAAGGGGATACTTCAAGGACGCAGCTCGTTGTGCGACTATCAGGCCTCACAGAATACACATAGACTACTCTTAGGTCCGTTCTATTAAACTCTTCTAAATTCTGCGCAGCAATTTCATTCACAATTTCATCAGGTTTCATATCAACGGGAACGTTGTGAATAATGAGCCTAAGATTTATCTTCGTGTTCTCGATAACTTTCAGACCTGCCTCAGCTAAACCCTTATGTGCTTTAATACGATTAATATTTGGTAAAAGTGCGCCGATTTTTATCGCATTCTTGTGAGCGAAAGATACTCTATTAATTTTTAATGCAAAATCGGAGGGTTTGAATACTTTACTCAACGCTTTTTTCGTAGCCAGCGAGTTCTCATACTTCGTAACACCTTCCTTAGGCGCGATTAAGAACGAAGCTCACTAGAAAGAGGCACACTAACAGTAGATCCGCCAGCAATACGAATTGTGCTCTTGCTAGCCGACGCACAAGACTGAGGCTGAGTCATTTCTCTCATCTCGCACAAGGCTGATCCTGAATGCTTACAAAGTGTACTTAATTTATTTTTGCTTATCGTGTCTGTGATAACTCTTTTTAGTAGTCCGCAGGTTTTTCCTCCAAAATGTGAGCCAGTACCGTAGACACTTCAATAAATGCCTCTCTGCACGCCTGAAAGCTGACTCAATAGTAACCTTCTTCTCAACGGTTTCCTTGCTGGACAGTAATAGTCTGGAAATAATGTCACTGTTTCTATCAACAGAGACTTTAAGTGCATTTAATTTAGATACATTAATACGATTTGAGATGATATTAGATCCACTAGCCAATCTAGTGAGTTTACGCAATCCAGCAGTAGAGAAAGAAAGAGAGAGAGAGAGAGAGAGAGAGAGAGAGAGAGAGAGAAAGAGAGAGAGAGAGAGAGAGAGAGAGNAAAGAAAGAGAGAGAGAGAGAGAGAGAGAGAGAGAGAGAGAGAAAGAGAGAGAGAGAGAGAGAGAGAGAGAGGAGAAATGAAAAAGAAAGCATGAGATGTTGATGGAGAAGTCTGCCGGAAACGGAGGTCAGAGAATAGAGCTAGAGTGTGTGTGTAGTTAGGAAGGATAGCGATTGTAATTAAAATATGCGGTGATAAGAATGTAATCTAGGTTAAGTTAGACATAAGATGTAGCGTTAAGAGCGAGCGAGCGAGAGGTTGTAAGAAAAATTGTAACTGTTCCCCAATAGAGGAATCAATAAATATATTATTCTCTTCTATTCTATTCTCTATGACAAAGATACTCGTCCTCAAACAAAAAAGAGTTATCGTTTCATGACGAGTATAAACACTCGACATAAACATTGAAACGGTTAATCTTTTTCTTCTTATTTATGCATGTTTTGTGATTTTGTTCTATTATTTAATGTATTTATTTTTACGTATATATATATATATATATATATATATATATATAATTGTGACACATGACAATGTGTGTAACATGTATAAATAATAATTGTATTTATTTGATAGTTACATAATATCTAATATATACACGGATATCTGACAACAAACTAAAAAGCCGACGTGTGTAGGTAGATCGAGTTATTGTGAACAGAAAAGTTATTTATCATTTAGTTATTTATCATTTATTTATCATTAAGTTAATTATCATTTTGAAAAAATCGCAATAGTTATTGAAATATGAATTAATAAATGTGAGCCAGTGAGAGCGCGGGGAGCGATGATCGGACTCTATAGGTGTGCACGATATCAGCTCTACTCCTCGCTCGCCGCTGCTCGCTGCGTACCGCCGAATAGCGCCCGATCGCAAGAAACTGAGTCGTGCCGTGCTTGTTTTGTTTACTCCGCCTCTCGTTGCTAAGACATTACATGAGAGAAGCCATTTTTCTTTTTATCTGATAATCGTGCACGCCTATAGAGTCCTATCATCGCTTCCCTCGCCTTCATTGGCTCACATTTAGTAATTCATATCTCAATAAATATTGCAAATTTTGCAAAATGATATATAACTTTTTTGTTCAGAATGACCGATCTACCTACATACGTCGGCTTTATAGTTCGTTGTCAGACACCCTGTGTATGTACAGGGTGTCCCAGAATTGGTTTAACATCTCTCGTACACAGGTAGAAGGAATAAAACTGAGGTAAAAAGTCCTATATCATTTTGCTAGATTTGCAATAGTTACCGAGATTTTAAGTAACAAAAATCCGCGAATAAGCGTGCATCAGGCTGTCTTACGCGCGTAGGACAGCCCGGCGCGCTTCACACAATTACGTTTTAATATGTATATGTTATAGTATATGCTGTTATATTAGCTCCTCCCATATGTCGCTATGGGTAACACCGTTAGCGCGCGAAGCGCGGCGGGCAGTCTTACGCGCGTAAGACAGCTCGATGCATGCTTATTCGCGGATTTTTGTTAATTCAAATCTCAGTAACTATTGCGAATCTAGCAAAATGGTATAGGGGACTTTTCATCTCAGTTTTATTCCCTCTACCTGCCTACGAGAGATGTTAAACCAATTCTGGGACACCCTGTATATACATGTATATACAAGGTGTCCCAGCAAGTCCGTATCACCGCTCGTAGGCAAGTAGAAGGAGTTATTCTGAATCGAAAAGTCCTTTACCATTTTGCGAGATTCACAATAATTAACGAATTGTTAATAAATAAAGATCCGCGAATGAGCGTGCAGCTACGTGCAAAATGACAGCTCAGAGCTGTCATTTTTTCGCGCGCTCGTACGACGGAAATAGTAGTAACGGAATGGGAGGAACTAATAAACAGCATACATACATAAAAACTCAATAACTAACTAATGTGACGTGAAAATATGGACTTTGTATTTTTTTAATTGAAATAAAGTCTAATGTCAAGATAAGTTAAAAATGAGTTTTTTTATACTTTTGTAATTACTTATTTACTTATTACTGTATTAATAATTTACTTATTACTGTATTGATAATTATTTACTTTTTTTTATTTTAAGGTTTACATAGAAAAAAATATTTAATTATTACAAGAAATTAAATTTTTTTTTCTATTCTTTATAGGATTTTTTAAATACATAAATAAGTAAATAAATAAATATCGTTATAGACATCTTTTTTTAATCACGTAAACCATTTTTACTTGTAATATCAAAATGTCTCACATAATTGTAATATCAAAATGTCGATATAATGATTATTAGGTTATTTATGTATTTAGTTTATATATTTATAAAAAGAATTTTATAGAAAAAAATTAAAAGTTACTTACCATTTCCCAACAAAGTGATCGAAGCTCGTGAAACAATAAAACCGAATAAACAGGCCGATGCAAGCAAACATATAAAATGCTAGTGTGTTTAATTCTTTATTGAAACCATAAACTTACAACAGACGAATTTTTATCAGTGTAGGAACAGATACATGTAATGACAAAGGAATTATAACAATGTGTTATTACATGTATCTGTTCATACACTGAAGATTCGTCTGTTGTAAGTTTATGGTTGTATATATATATATATATATATATA